AAATCGGGTGCGCACAAATATTCGAACATGAGCATGGGGTGCGATATGAGCTTGAATGTTGACATCCCCCTACCTCTTCTGAAATGTGAAGCATGGTAGGGAAAGTGTAAAGAAGATAGGTTAAGGAACTAAGAGGGATGTGGCAAGTACCCTGAGCGAGCTGAAATGGTCTACTACAGCGTCTGATCCATCTCGATGCAGCCGCGCTATCTCCCCTATAAATTGAATCTTAGGCAGTTCCCTAGACGGTCGCCATGGGGATGCAATTCGGGATATTCGATTATGTCAAGTCCCAAAGTATGCGATGTTCAAAGCTTGATCTTAGGATTGCTTTCAGGGTTGCTAGTAGCTGATAATGAACGAACCTGATTAACGGAGTCGGAGAATTCTTGCATTTTTACAACATGAAAGCGATTACGTAAAAGTCTAACGCAATAAAGTTCAGATTCCGATGAGAAACAAATCTACAAAAACCATCCCTGGGGACGGTCGCGGGTAGGTCGGGCGGAGAGAAGGGAGTGTATGGAAGGAAGGGTGCGTAGGGCGAACTGACTGAGAAATGAAAAAAGAATCAAAGAAAACCGCCGATGAAGCCATTAACAAGTGTTCCCTCTCTTCCCTTGAAATGAGGAGGGGCGCGTCCGGACGAGTTGTCTGAACTTGCTTGCTCCATGGCTCCACTAACCCGCGCGTATTTGAATTAGCCGCTACTAATCCACGCTGCGTATCACGGGGTGTGCGCGAGGTATCTCGTCCATAGTTAACATTAGTCCCATCACATCACTTTGTAAGGCCCTAGCCACTGTCGTGCATTTTCAAGCCGCAACAACGACATATGAGTGAGAATGGTTTCTTCGGCACGACCTCATCTGGGGTTCGTTGCTTCAACTGCATAAGTAGTGCAGATCAGAAGTGACGAGTTCCATTCCGTAAAATTCAGTACCGATGCAACTACTAGGACGCCTTAACAAGAAAAATCAACCTCCTGCAGACAAAAAGAAAACACTGCATTCAGCCAGTTGTCTACTTCATTGCCAATGTCGTTCGGTTTATGGGCTTTCATGGAAGGGTGTATAAAGTTGCGGGATGTTTTGGAATTTCGTTTCGGAACAGCTTCTTTTGCAGTGCCAATTTTCACATAGCAAACCCCCACTCGTTCAGTATTGTTTACAGTAAGACACGACGTAATTTGGGGCCATGTGCAGCAGGACCAGACTCGTTCTGTTGTTGCTCTCAAAACTCTGCATTTCTGGATGCATCACCCTACTCGTGGCCATGAGGACTGCGTCATCGACAGGAATATGGACGCAAAACTTTGGGGCCCTACAACGGCTGGGCACTGCCACAAATGATCCCTAGAGTTTTCTTCAGTGTAGTGTCGTAATTAGGTCTTAAGGGTGCAGAGTCGCGAATTGAACTATCACTCACAGCGTAAGAAGATCCTCTGCGTACATCCTTGGCAAACTTGCAACCGACATCGGCCGCCTTGTTACCCGCGAACCGTCGGGTGCCATGTTGCATCACTGGGCACGACAGAGGGACCGTGCTCGCTGCAGTGAGTCAGAAACAGTGCATCATCAGCGTTCTCTGGAGTCAACTTTCAGGCTGCTCATGGAAAGCGGCTTGCGGAATTCGCAGAGTATAATTGTAATGAACTTCTAGGTTCAGTGCATTTGACACCAATATGCCACCTCTATGAAAAGGCCGACTGACCTCTACCCGTGGTTCATACTCACCTTCCCTGCACTGTCGGAACGTTGATTTAGTGGCGCTTGTCGCTAAGGGAGGTGGGGGGGGGGTTAAAGTGAGTGATAAAGTGAGTGAGCCACTTACATTAATTAGGACTTAGCCTGAGCCTTAGGAAAGAGAGGGGATTCTGGGAGAGGATGTGAGCAACTCTTTCTCCCTGGCGTTTCTCCCTCTCTAGGGCTCAGTCCTCGTGTCACCTACTCAAATCCTCTGTTTTGAGTGTACCTCCTGAGGACATGAGCGCCGATTTAGTATTTCATAAATTTACATGCTTACTTTTTTACTTTATTATTGCATCTCTTCGATTTAAATTTGTTCCTATTCGGGTCTGTCAACCTATAAACTAATTACTCTACATACATAATAGGGGTCGAATAATTAATCCAATGACCATCCCAACATAGATGGAGGAGTTCTCCCCACGCAAACTTTACCTAGAACACAATGAAGAATGTGTTTCGAAGAAAACAGCCTGTTTGAACCATTTCGTGGAGAAATCTGTGCTGTCCTGACAAAATTAACGTATTGTATTTCAGAATCAGAAAATTCTTCGCGTCGTCAATGATCTAGAGAGCAATTATCGCGTAAGTCGCGTTCTACGTTCTTATTAATTCGCCTTGTCATTTCAGCGTACTCTCACCACCATATGCAAAGTAGAGCAAAATTTCCTGGTAAACTCATGTGCTAGCGTTACGTAGTCTCGTGCATCCCCATTGTACAGTTGCATGGGAATTTTTCGAGGCGTTTTCAACCGATTTAGATCATCCGCACAAATCCTCTTATTAGTTGAAATTTCTAGGAACGTTCTAGAAATCACAGTGTGAAAAGTGATCTAGCTCCCACAGTGTTTGACTGGGTTCATGTGGTGTACTGTAGAGACGCTGTCGTGCGTGAACTAGCGGACTTATAGGATCGAAGGAACAGCATAGAATAGGTTCAGAGTTAGTAGATTAGATCAACGGTTGATTCACTTTGCAGTTCGTCACTCGGAATCTCGTCAAGCGCTATATCGCTCAAATGCAACGAGTGAAGCAACAAAACGAGGGCGTAAGCGAGGACGACGTGAACGAAATCAAACAGGTAATCAGAAAGCTCTTGGAGTTAGTAGCAGTGTTCGGGGCAATTTGGACGATAATCTACAATCAAGGACACTTTTTGAAAGGCTTCATGCCGTCCATTCTTTCCAAGTGTCACGCAATCGGCCTTGCCACACTTCATGAGATGATTGTGACTGAGTACAGGGTGGTCCAAAATTATGAGGACCAAGACATTGTGTCGTTAAAAACGCATAGTAGCTTGATGGAGCAAACAAACTACAGGGAAGTGTTTGCAACTAGTATCTCAAAGTAATTCCAGAATAGAATTGAGATCTGCCACCTGCCGCGTTTACACGAGCCTTCAGACGAAGGGGGTGGCGCGTGCGGTGGCACGCAACTGAGGCGTGTCAAAATGTTTCCAGGCCTTCTGCTCTGCTTTCTTCAGGGGATCAACGTTTTGTGGGGCATTCATTTACCCATGTCTCCAGGGTGTAAAATACAGAATTCTAGAGCTGTTAGGTGGAGGGTTCCATTGTAACAATTCTTCGAGAGCAACAAACTCGAAAAATAGCTTTTAGAGAATTTTTGCTCTATTCTTGGGTGCTCGGTCCAGTAAAACGTCCCAAGTATGGTACTCAAGTGGCTTCCTATCCACTACAGATGTGGAGTCTTTAGAGTGTCTGGCTGGGTTTTCACATCAATTTTTTCATTTTGGGAGTACGAAAGTCGACAAGGGGAGACCTAGTTTCTGCATCTGATAATTGTCCTGGTGGTAACTGTAACTTTCGAGTCCCCGAATTTTCCATCTGTGGTGATTCCAAACTTATTGAAGAGTTGAACTGTTGCCCATTGAGCTTTCCTGATACGTTAGACTGCCGCTAGATGTAACGTGCCAGAGCCTTTAGTGAGTTCAATTTGAGGAATGACATAAGGAGGTGTTGCTATTTCACTAGTTTTGAGAACTGCATGAAGTTAGTTTCGAAAGGAAGAATACACTGTACCCTATCACATGGTGCACAGAAAAGGAAATGAAAATGGAGCGACTCGGAAAAAAGTGGATATGACCGCGCGCGCACGCGGTCCTCATAATTTTGGACCACCCTGTACACTGTTGATGCAACAGCCCCAGATCAAATTGCTGGGGTAACAGCGATCGTTAATGAAATTATGGATGCCGAACTGACCAGAAATGAAAAAAGAATCAAAGAAAACTGCCGAAGAAGCCATTAACAAGTGTTTTCTCTCATCCCTTTGAAATGAGGAAGGGGCGCGTCCAGACGAGTTGTCTGAACCTGCTTGCTCCATGGCTCCACCAATCCGGCGTGTACTTGAATAGCGCCACTTTTCAACCAACGCTGTTGTAATCACGGCGGGGCAACGACGTATCTCGTCATATTTGTTCAACTTCCTAGTCCCATTACACTCACTTACTGAGGCCCTAGCTTCACTGTCGTGCATTTTCAAGCCGCAACAACGACATATGAGTGAGAATGGTTTCTTCGGCACGACCTCATCTGGGGTCGTTGCTTTCAACTGCATAAGTAGTGCAGATCAGAAGTGACGAGTTCCATTCAAGTACCGATGCAACTACTAGGACCGCCTTAACAAGAAAAATCAACCTCCTGCAGACAAAAAGAAAACACTGCATTCAGCCAGTTGTCTACTTCATTGCCAATGTCGTTCGGTTTATGGGCTTTCATGGAAGGGTGTATAAAGTTGCGGGATGTTTTGGAATTTCGTTTCGGAACAGCTTCTTTTGCAGTGCCAATTTTCACATAGCAAACCCCCACTCGTTCAGTGTGTCCTCATTCTGATTAGTTTACATTATAGGATATCAGTGCCTTCCGCTATGAACTGCTCGGAATTCTGCGATCAGCAGGCTTCACTACCGGTCACACGGACATCAACCAGAAAACATACAGTGAGTTTGTGCATTTTATGCTTACAACAGATTGACTGCACAGTATGAACCCTATAGATAGCCATGATAGTGTATTGAATATCACCTATTCTTTCTAAATCTTAGAGGACGATTTTAGACGCGAATGCTGGTCAAATCTGGTGCGCACAACTATTCGAACATGAGCATGGGGTGTGATATGAGCTTGAATGTTGATATCCCCCCACCTTCTTCTGAAATGTGAAGCATGATAGGGACAGTGTAAAGAAGATAGGATAAGGAACTAAGAGGGATGTGGCAAGGTCACCCCTACGAGCTGAAATGGTCTACAGCGTCTGATCCATCTCGATGCAGCCGCGCTATTTCCCCTATAAATTGAATCTTAGGCAGTTCCTTGAGACGGTCGCCATGGGGATGCAATCGGGATATTCGATTATGTCAAGTCCCAAAGTATGCGATGTTCAAAGCTTGATCTTAGGATTGCTTTCAGGGTTGCTAGTAGCTGATAATGAACGACCTGACTTAACGGAGTCATTCACGGAGAATTCTTGCATTGTTTACCAACATGAAAGCGATTACGTAAAAGTCTAACGCAATAAAGTTCAGATTCCGAAGAAAAACAAATCCACAAAAATCACCTCTGGGGACGGTCGCGGGTAGGTCGGGCGGAGAGAAGGGAACGTATGGAAGGAAGGGTGCGTAAGGGCGGCCATGCATCAGGCGACATATTGAAAATATCGAGTGAAGCGTTCAACTTTGAAGAATAGAGAAAGAAAAGGATGCAATCGAAAAGAAAAGTGTTATTGCCATAGGTGGGAAAGGCTAAAAATAGTCCTAGTGAAGGAACTCCGAGAACCAATGGAACGTCGTCCAACATTCTCGTGACAGATGTATGGGCGCGGAATTTGATTATGTAATTTTACCTGTTTTTCGAATTGTTTACAAAACGAACGCAATTTTTTGTTCTTTTCGTTCCATGATGGATCTGAAATCGGGGATGTATGGGCGATAGAATTATGACTTTTTCGTTCTAGAAGAACTGCAATCGCAAAAAACGCCACCTACTGTTCGGCCAACGTTCCCTATGATTTCGACGCCTCTCATGACTACATACATGTTCCTAGCCATCAAGTATTCGTTTTGTCCCACCCCACGTCTATTCAGTGGACCCTGATGAACCAAAATCCGAGATAGTGTTCAAATGACTCTACAGTAGAGATTAACCATAAGCTCATGCTCTATGCCACGTAAGCTTTGTTAGTAGCATTACTGCCCAAATAACTTTTCCGCTCACCCCCCCCACTCCCCCCGCTCCATTAGTCGACTGGACGTTGAGGTGCGACGTCGGTGGTATAGTGGCCATCGAACTTACGTTCGAAAGGTTGTTGCGATCTCGAGTGGAAGTAGGAAGCGTGGCGCCTTCCCAAGAACGGGTTTGTCATTTCTGAATGTTTCATTCATATCATTTGTAAATAATAATATAGGGTAAACAGATTGTAACACAGCATTAAAGGAAGATCCTGCGATAAGAACAAATGTCAAAAAAGGGAAAATCGCCTAATTGGGAGACAGGCGGACCTCTTGAGGGTGCGGACCGACGCGCAATTGGCAGCGAAAAGATTTGATTCGGCGATCTAGCATGGCTCACTCTTGGCGCAGTTGGCGCGGTACGCCCACCGACATAGCAGAGAGAGCGTTGGCGTTCAAGAGGGCATGATGAGATTCACATCAATGGGGAACTCAACTAGCAAGAAAGTGGTTCCATTTCAAGAGTTTCGGGCCGTTTCCCTTGGTTTTTCCTTCTTTCTTTTTATCGCTGACCACCCTTGGTTTATCTTGGAATGAGTTTGCCTTTTCAGCTTAAATTTCCCCTTCAGTAACATACTATGATAGTTGCTTTGCCCGTTTTGAAGCCTGTTCGCTTTTCTTCTGCAATCTGACCACAACTTGTAAGCATGCAGCACTTGCTCCAGCCGCGCGCGTGATAACGGTGTGAGGGCGCGTTCATAGTCGGTTG